TTTTTAATCTATTGTGAGATTAACAACATATTTTGAATCACAAAAAAAAAAATTATAAATTATTATGGGGTTCACTCTTTGAAGAATTTGTGACTCATAACATGTTGTTAGTTTCACTATGGCTCAAAAGACTATTATACTAGCAAAACCCAAAAGGAAAGAAAGAAATAATATATAAATGGGAAGAATAAATTCAGACCATTCTTTTCTTTATGTTATTTTGTCATCTTCTCAATGCAGCAAACTCAAATTGTCCTAGTGTGAAATTGGGGAAATTACCAAAAAAGTCTTAAACCTATTGTACTTGTACTAATTTAGTCCTAAATTTTTTAATTGTGCCAATTAATTCCTAAGCCGTTTCACATTTTGCCAATTGAATCCATCTGGTCAATTTTGGTTAGAAATCGCTAAAGTAGACACTGAACCATCCTACGTGGCACGGCGAGCACTGATGTTGACATTTTTTAATAATTTTTTTTAATTTTCTTTATAAATTTTATGGTTTTTTTCTTTACTTTTTTTTACTAAGGGCTGGCAACCCTCCCACAGTCGAAGGCCAAGATGAGGGTTGCAACGTCCTCGCCGGCCCCACCTAGATAAACTATTTGGTGTTTGGTGACATTCTCCAAACTAGATAAACTCGGATACATCTAGATAAAATGGCAAATAAGAAATCCGGCATAAGGGATGGGATGAACCCAATTGGATATAAAATTTCAAAAATTAACATAACAAGGGCTCACCACCTAATCCGTGGCACGTTCTATTTCTTAGTCGGTTTTTCAGCTTTTCCACCATCACCGAATCCTCTCTCGATTCCTCTCTCTAATTCACCTCTGATTACTCATTCTCGGCCTCCATTGTTCCACAATCTCTCTCTTGATTGACTCTGAACTAGGCATTCATCAAGCATTTGATGAAATGCTGAAGAGAGATCTTCCTTGCCTTCAGTCCAGAATTTTGCTTAATAGAAGAGGTCATCCTCCATTTCGCTCTGTAGTTCGACCATTGAGTTCCACCTATTGTGCATGAGGAACACCGGAATGGCATCGTGTTGCAGAACCTCCTTTTGCAGGCCCACCCACAATGCACCCCTTCTCCATTGTCGCCTCCCTTAGCTCCTCCGGGATGGTTCCGCCACTTTCTTCGGCGATGGAGTCCGTCCACATGACCCATAGGAAGTTCGTCTCACCGATCACGAGGTCATACCAAAACTCTATGAGGTCGTGTTTGTTGAAAGTCATCAAGCTTTCGAGATCAATTTCCTAGAGAGATTGCTTGTTAACGATAATGGTCGAGAGGGTTTGAGTCGTCACGTACACGAGAAGCCTGTTAGAGATGAGATTTTCAAAGATTTTCAAATAAGAAGGATTTTAAAAAACTTTCAATACTATCTTAGATTGCAGATTTTCAAATATTTTAAGTCCCATATTAAATTGCACAAAATATATAATGGGATACTTTTACTATCCGAAGGATATTTTGACGATTTCAAATCCATCTTTATTATATCCTATCCTTATTCCAATTCCAATTTAGACGCTCAAATACAGCTTTAAGATTTAATGACTGAGATAAAGTATCTCGCGTGCTCTCTAGAAGAGTGTCCATACTTTTCCTCTCGCAGTCTCCACGTTGGAGCCAATGGGAATGCAAGCTCGCATAAATTGACTTTAATCAATGACCTCGTACGAGGGCAATTGGTGTCTTCCATCCTCACCACCAATTATCCTTATTCCTCTGTCCACATGAATATGAATGGCCTGAACCACCCCAGTTCCTGTCGCTTTAACATTGTGGAATGGACTTTAACTGAATTTGTCTTTAGAGAAAATCTCTCACCGGTTTGTCCAAACTTGTCAAAAGTCTCGTTTGACCTGCCCGTAGAAAGAAAAAAAAATGTTATAGTTTTTCACGATTTAAGATATTAATTTTTATATGATTTAAAACGTTTAAATATCTCATATGGAACAAAATTTCAAAATTTTAAAGGTTCAAAACTCGATCCTCAAATTTCAATTTGCAATGGTGCATCTTGTATGAACTTTTCAAGAAAAAGAAAATTGCTATTTCACCCCCAATCCTGTGCCGGAGCCCAATCAAATTCATCAAACTAGCCTAATCATGAATTCTTGCTCCACCATCTCCCTCTCTCTCTCCTCCTCCATCAAGATTTTCGGTACTGAAGCTGCACCTAATTACATAGATCATGATTGCCCAAACACCACCCTCTTCACTCCCAACTCCACCTACCAATCGAACCACCACACCCTCCTCTCTTCCCTCTCCTCCGCCGCCACTGACGGCTTCGCCAATGCCAACGCCAACGCCAACGCCAGCCAAAACCCTCCTGATCGGGCCTACTAGCTCTTCCTCTGTTGCAGCGACATTGACATCGCCATGTGCAGCGACTACGTGGCCACTGGAAAGCGAGGTATCCTCCAAAGATGCCCAAACAGCGGGGTCTTTGTTATCTGGCATGAAGAGTGCATGTTGCAATACTCGAACCGATCCTTCTTCTCAGCGGGTCCTAATTCTTTTTGCTTTACTTGGAATCAAAGATCTGTTTAGCACGCATCAACCATGAGTCATTATAGAATTTTTCCTAAAATAAAAATACGTGATTGGTTGACTGAAGATATGAGGTGACATTGGAGGATCACATAAAAACTTTCAGGTCATAGTACGCTTGTTGGTCCTGGGCTTTTAGGTTTTTTTTTTTTTGGTCGAAACCTGGGCTTTTAGTTTTTTTTTTTGGTCGAAACCTGGGCTTTTAGTTTAAGTGGCGACTTTTTGTTAAGAAAACTCTTGGCTGGGTTGAAAAATATTACAAGTATTTCTTATCCCCAAAAAAAAGATATTACCGGTATTATAAGTTATTGAAATTAATGCTTCTTTCAAGTCGTCAATGCTACAAAGTCAAGATGAGACACATTTTAGGTGAAAACTTTTTCTAGGGTGGATTACATGACTATTGGTAAAGGGTCGCTTTTAATCACTTAATGGTTGACCTCCGATAAACAATCCGTGCGCTCACATAGGAATTAGGAAAAAGAAATTGGATTTTTTGTGAGGAGCACAAATTATGGATTACAGCTTAGGATCCGTTTGTTTGAAGGAAAATCATTTTCGAAAGCCAACTCTTTAGTGTTTGGATAACATAAACCTAGTCGATCTACGAAGAGCATGTTTCATGGACCAAAAACAAGTTGAGGCTTGGGAAAACAATTTCCCCTTCTAACAAGAAGGCAAACATTTTTCCTGATTTCTTATTGCGCGTCAAAGTGAGAATTATAGGTCCGTCTATCTCTATTTCTTATTTCTCGTCATTATTTTATTTTATTTTTCGATAAATCTCATATGTTTTAGTCATTAATGCTCATGTTCTGTTACATTCCCAAACAAACATGATCATGCATAATGTTTTACACATATGATTCCATTAATTCTTTCCTAATATCTTTTTAATTCTTGTTATTTTGATGGATTACAAAAAAAATAAAGAAGATGTTGATTTTAGTTTTTTAGTCATCGCATGCCATTTTTTTAACGATCACTTACTATTAAATATCATCAAATCAATTTTTTCAACTTTTTTTTATGGACAAATTATAAAAAATGGCTTACTTTTTGAATTTCCTGAAAACATTTCCAGTAACAAGAAGTTTTCGATGAAATAAATGGACCTTTAATTTCTTCACATTTGCTCTTTAAGCGTGATCTTTTTGTTTTTCTCTATTTTTATTTTTTTTTTACATTTGGTCTGGCCTATAGCAATTCCAATTTCTAAAATCTCATACAGTCATAAACATGACATATACTGATGCTATTCCTCAGTGGCCTATCTAAAACCGACATTGTTTTAAGCCTCATCGGATGCATTAGATTGCCAAGCATGCCACATAGGATGGCTAGAGCTAACTAGATTGCTACGTCAGCGATATCCGGCCTAAATTGATCAAAATGACTACTTGGAAAATCATCAAAAGGTTCTAACCAAAAAAAAATATTATCAAAAGGTTTAGGACTACATTAGCTAAATTAAAAAAATTTAGGACTGAATTGGCGACCGTACAATAAGATTAGGACTTTTTGAACAACTCTCCCATTGAAAAGTTGATATTTGAAGGAACAGATCATTACACGTGATTCAATATTTCATATGATTTTATGGGCAAGTTTTCAATATCTAGGTAAGTATGAGTTTGAGCATACAATTTTCTAAAAAAAGATTTATTTTTTAGCAAATTATGTAAAATGCGACCGTGATGGATCAAGTATATAATAAACTTATTTTGAGCGGTCAGGATAGTACAGGTCCTACACAAACAACTGAGATTTTATATTGAATGTTGATGCCAACCAAAATCCACACTTCGATTTGGGAACATCGCTTTGATATGTACAAAGACAAGTTTTTTGACATAATGACAATTATCAACCAACGGGTTAAAAAAAAGATTAATATCACAAAAAATCACAAATTTGTACACTTGCGATAAATTTACCCAAAACTAGTTTTTTGACCACCAAAAACCCCAAATCGGTACACTTATGACAAATTTGCCCTAAATTAATTTTTTGACAACTAAAAATCTCAAACTAGTATACATGTGAAAAATTTAACACAAACTAATTTTTTGACTAATAAAAATCCCAAACTGATAATCTTAAGACAAATTTACCCTTTGTTAGCGGACCAGTTTGGGATTTTCGTGGTATTTACACTATGAATTTCCATGTTGACTTGCCACGTCACCATACTACGTCACAATGTCACGTGGATCCACGTGTCGCTGGCTGAATCGTGCCGGAATGCCTAATATTTTCTCCCCACCTGTACTCTGTCTCGTCAATCACTGGTTTTCCGGCGAAGAAAGAAAAAAGTTTCAACCCCCACCCCAAAATAGAAGATGGGGGGCGAAGCAGATTTCGACGAAGCAAACTTTTGTAGGAGCTACTCAAGCTACACGTCCACATTAATCAAAGAAAGACCCCAAACACCCCAAAGAAACTAAGAAAGATGGATCCTCCATATCTCCCTCTCTTGCGTCTTCTCACCTTCGTTTCCACCATCAACGTCCGAGATTTCTTCCCAGCGCCCTACTGTGGTTCGACCGGCAACTTCACCGCCAACAGCACCTACAAGACCATCCTCACCACCCTCCTCTCCTCCATCTCCACCACCAACGCCTTGTCCCTCGCCTACGGCTTCTTCAATGCCTCTGCCGCCGTCTCTGGCGCCTCCCAAACCCTCTACGTCATCGACTCCTGCCGCGGTGACCTCACTAGTGAGGGCTGCCGCTCCTGCCTCAATGCCTCGGCCTCCGACATCCAATAGAAATGTGGAGCTCAAGGGGCGCAACAAGAAAAACAGCTTAAGGCAACATATGTTTAGAGAATGAGCCTAGTCTGGATTAGGGTTAATCGGTTTCCGATCCGGTTCAATAAAACCGGTCACCTGAGATTTAATTCACATTTTACTAAATTTATCGAAAAAATGAAATATATATAAAGTCAGTCCGGTTCGGTCCGATTCCTCCTTAGAACCGAGAACCAGACTACCCTGACATTGACTCCACTTTTATAAAAACTGAAAATCGTACCGACACTCTTGAGAACTGGACTAAACTGACTAGTTCAGTCTTATCCGGATAATTCCCGTTTTGGGCAGTCCGCTTTGCACACTCCTAGTCGGAACAAAGAAAAAACTTATCAAAGGATTTTCTCTCTCTATTTTGCTTTCTGCTGGAAATTTTCCACAGATTCAAATTGCTTGTTTCCTCAATGAATATTCACATCAAACACCTCATTTTGTCAATATCATATCTTTTTATTTTTTGCATGTCCAAATTTTTATAAACTCAAAAAGGAGTTAAAACGCGTTAATTAGAAAAGAGTACGCAAAATGAAGAATCACCAAAATTCGGCTATTTACGAAGTCGCCCCTAAAGCAAAATCCCACGTTAATCCCCCATGGTTCGTCCATCGTCAGAAAGCTCAACTTACAGCTCTAGAGATCACTCTCAGAAGAAGGGTTTTCTATCGGAATTGAGTGAGTGACGGGCGGTCGCAAAAGTATAATTTCAGTCAGGAGGGGGTGGGACCGATCCTCCGCACCACAAGTGGCCTTAGATATTTGCTTTCTATACGCGGGGCCTACAAATTAAACATCCGATGGGGTCTTGTCTCGTCAATCGCTGGCTTTCTGGCGAAGAAAAAAAGAAAGATTCAATGACTTCATTAGTCTGAATATTCAACCCGCACCCCAAAATTTCGACGCAGCAAAACTTGTGTAGGAGCTACACAAGCTATATGTCCACATTAATCAAAGAAAGACCCCAAACCCCCCAAAGAAACTAAGAAATATGGATCCTCCAAATCTTCCTCTCTCGCTTCTTTTCACCTTAGTTTCCCCTATCCTCCAAGGTTTATTCCCAGCGCCCTACTGTGGTTCGACCGGCAACTTCACCGCCAACAGCACCTACCAAACCTCCCTCACCACCCTCCTCTCCTCCATCTCCACCACCAACTCCCTATCCCTCACCTACGGCTTCTTCAATGACTCCGCCGCCGTCTCCGGCACCTCCCAAACCCTCTACGTCATCGGCTCCTGCCGTGGCGACCTCACCGCCGAGAGCTGTCGCACCTGCCTCAACGCCTCGGCCTCCGACATCAGCCGCCTCTGCCCCCTCCAGAAGGAGGCAGTGCTCTACAGCGAGAAGTGCACTGTCCGGTACTCTAATGCCTCGATCTTTGGCACAGTCGTGACCGACCCCATCTACGAGCTGCACAACGTGAACAACGTCTCGAGCCAGGTCACGTACAAGCTGGGGACACAGGTGGAAGGTCTGAAGGGCGAGGCAGCCGGCGGTGGCTCGCAGAGGAAGTTGGCTACGAGGAACCTGCCAGTGGGGCCGGACACGATCTTTGCGATGGCGCAGTGCACGCCGGACTTGACCAGGCAGCAATGCATCGACTGCCTGGAGAAAGTTGTCGGGAGCATCATGAATCGCTTTCGTGGGAAGGCGGGAATGATAAGCATGGCGCCCAGTTGCCAGTTTCGGTTCGAGATCTATGAGTTCTTGGACCCAGGCAGCGAGCCACTTCCACCGCCACCGTCGCCGCCGCCACTACTGCCGCCTCCTCCTCCGCCGCCAGGTACGTTGGCTCTTGTTCAAGAATTAAGTATCCTAGCATTTTGTTTTTTTTCCTTTAATCGAGGTGGATTAAGATCATCTTATTTGTTAATTATGCGGTTTCACCTGAGATTCACACGATTAAGCGTGGAAATGAATTTAGTTTTTATGCTCCATAGACCATCTAATTTATTTTATGGTAAGGACGTTGGATAAAAACATTTTTGCCAAAATGAAGTTGCGGAATATTTCCATATTTTCAGTAAAAGAACGGTAGGGTCCATATCTCTATCTTTGACGCATGTGTATGGCTAATAGTCAGCTATCATAGTTCATTGAATCAAAAGTTGTGGCGTTCATTCACCAGAAACGGTCACGTGAGATCTTTAAATTAATGATAAAGTGAGTTTAGGCTAAGGGTAATGAATCATTAGCAGATGTTCATTAATTCTCCTCATTTAGTCACCATCGTTCTAAATTGATATAAACACAAAAAGGTTTTTAATAATAAGAGAAGTAGATTGACATCTAAATCGATCTAGAGTTACAATCCATATCAACCATGTGGTGATCACTGCTAATAGTAAAAAAAAAAAAAAATTGGTAAGACAAATTGTCGAACTTAAATCAACCAAACAAGAAATTCCGTATGGGAAACATATGCCTAGAGGCTGTGCCTGCAACAACAAGGCCATTAATGGAAACAAAGTTGTCCAATCACTCTTAAACCCTCTGTATGAATGTCAAAACTTTGCATAAGATTTTAATGAAGTCCTTCTGGCCACTTTTTGTCAAAAATCGTTGCTGTGGTAACGTGTCACATAGGACGGCTAGCAATGAATGGACGGCCATGTCAGAGACATTCTCACAAAAAACTGATTGGAATGACTACATTCGAATTTCTCTTTCATTGATTTAGCTTGTATACAATTGATTTAGGACTAATTGGGTAAGTTTCCCTAGCTTGGTGTGTGGGGTTCATAAAAAAGATCGAAATTGGACTTCTTTGTGGCGGTGGTTGATACATTCACAAGTTGTCATGAGAGATCTTGAAAAGTTTAGGATTAAATTAGCTTGCATACAATTGCATAACGGTTTTTTAGAGGGATTTAAATCCAAGGGCTCGTGTGCAGCAGCAGCGGCAATAATTCCTTATTGACGAACTTAGTAGGTGATTTAACATGGGCTGTTCATGCTAGAAATTTTTTTGCTTCTTAATATTCTTCATTTATTCGTCTTCAGCCCCATCAATTTACCAAAAACAGAAACTTAAAATGCTGGAATTGCAATTGATGTTCAGGCTTTCTCGTTTAAGCCTCTCTATTCAGATCTCTCTTGGCCCCTTCTTGCGTGTCAAATTGCCAATCTTCACGCGTCGGTTTATGTGTTACGCACGCTTTCATCTAGAAAGCTTTTAGATTAGTTTGGGAATCGTCTCATATACAAAATGGTACCTGTGCAGGAAAAAGCAACAAATCTACCGTGATAACCATCGCCATTACCGTTCCTGTTGGAGGTGTTATGGTCCTTCTCTTTTTCACTTGTTGTTTGCTTCGAAGAAAGGGAAAGAAGACAGATGGAGTCGTCCAAGGAAAAAGTGGTAAATCGATTATTTGCCTTTATTTTTTCGTAAGCTATCTACGCCATATATGAGCATATTATGAAATTTCTTCATTTTCCGTAAGGAATCGAATATGTCAATCATACGAATTAAGAGTCCATTGGATATAAATGTAGCATATATAATGGAAAAGATCAAGGACAAAGATGAGATCCTCATGCTCTTTAAACCTTCAAGACTATACTTTGACTGCACAAGCAATCATAATGCCACCAATAAAAGGAATACTTTGGGAATGTAACAGTTCATTTCTGGCCTTCTAGATAAATAGATGCAGCAATTCTACAAAAATTTTACCGAACACCTATGAAAATATCTCCCTTTCATAGCCTGCTGCATCAGGACAATTCAAACTCCCAATCACTAATATCATTATTAGGAAAACAAAAGTGAAGGGCACTCATCCTGGCTTGCTTAGAGAAACTGCATCCAAAGAACAAATGGGATCTAATCTCAATGCTTTCATGACGCAAAAAACAGAGAGTTTGGCCATGACTAGAAGACTATTTGTCAATTCCTTGAAATATAGGCAGCTTATCTTGTATCGCCAACCAAAGTACGAATCCAAACCTCAGCAAATTAGATGAAAATCAAATCAGCCTATACCATTCAACTCTTGTGACTCTTTTCCTCACAATCTCCCAAGCTGAAGCAGAGGTAAGAATGTCACAAGAAGCAGCAGCGCAAGTGTCTTGGTCTTCCAAAGAAGACTTCGGACAAATTACACCACAAACAGCTGTCTGGATTGATACCAAGACTTCAGACCTCGCATTGGGCCTTTTTCCATTCAGAGCACAAATCATATCAGCTACTTTTGCAGTTCAAAGGAGGGCAGCATCTTAAACTACTCTCCTCGGGCATACATCCAGCAAGATCCCATCAGGATGCCATGAGTCATGCCAGGGGGATATAGATTCGACATGAAAAACCACATAATGAGCCCTCAAAATACTCCTAACGTTCAGCAATTCCCTCCAACCATAGGTAGCATCTGCACCGCAATTAACAGACTTAGCACTACCTTCAGTATTAATCATATTGTTTTTCTTCATGACCAATCAAGAGGGGAAAGATTTCATTGGGGTAAGGAGACAACCATGCCAGCCTAATCCGGTGCTCTTCATTGTGATAATGTTCCCAAGCACTAGCAACTGTATAAACGCCACTAGGAGCCAATGTCGATATAATTTGATAATCAACTTACGTTTTTTGGTAATGCAGGTGCGAATGAACTTACCACCGCGGAGTCCTTGCAATTTGACTTGGCTACAATACAAGCCGCGACAAATGATTTCTCTCCAGAAAACAAGTTGGGTGAAGGTGGATTTGGTGAAGTTTTCCAGGTACGTATTACATAGTAGTTAGAAACAATCAAGAATGTTTTACATGTGAATTGAACATAATGGTGCCGAAAAAGAAAGAAACATGTAACGCTTCTTTATGTTAGTTTTTAAGTTGTGTTAAGGAATTAAACAATGAATGCAAAAAACACTTTAGGGTAGCCTTCCTGATGGACAGCAAATAGCGGTGAAGAGGCTATCTCAAAGCTCAAGACAGGGTGATGAAGAATTCAAAAACGAAGTTCTATTGGTTGCGAAGCTTCAACACAGAAACCTTGTACGACTGCTCGGATTTTGCTTGGAGGGAGACGAAAAGATACTCGCCTACGAGTTTGTGCCAAATAAAAGCCTTGATTACTTCTTATTTGGTATGCTGCAATTTGACTTTCTTATGTACATTTGCTTGAAATCAAATGTTCGAGCTTTTACTAGTTGTGGAAAACTTGAAATTAAGAAGTTTTCAGTTCTTTCAACTTATAGTTTTTGGTTAAGCCACCTTTGATCGATGAGAGTAAATATATTCGCCTTGAGTTTTTGAATAGGTGCCACATGCTAGCACATAATGAGTTTTGGTGCAACGATGCAGATCCCCAAAAAAGCGGTCAATTGGATTGGCCATTACGTTTTAAAATAGTATCTGGAATCGCTCGAGGATTGCTCTACCTACATGAAGATTCTCGTCTCCGGATCATCCATCGAGACCTAAAATGTAGCAATATCTTGTTAGACAGTGAAATGAACCCGAAGATTTCAGATTTTGGCACGGCAAGGATTTTTGGAGTCGATCAAACTCAGGCTAGCACAAATAAAATCGTGGGGACTTTGTAAGTCTTAGGTCTTGAATAGATGACTTTGTAATTGGAAGACGTACTTGCTCATTTTATCTATTTAAGGATGCTCATTGATCTGCATCTAAATATGCAATGTACATGTGGCTAATATTCGGTTTTGCAGTGGTTACATGTCTCCTGAATATGCAATGCATGGAGAGTTCTCGGTGAAATCTGATGTTTATAGTTTCGGTGTACTACTTATAGAGATCATTTGCGGCAAGAAGAATAACATCTACCACCAATTGGATAGGGGTGAATATCTTGCTAGTTATGTAAGTTTCGTTGTGCTACTACGGCAAATATTCACACCGCACTCTTTGTAAATTTGGTTCAATGAAATTGAAATTCCTTTGTAAAAGCTTAGTCCTTTGGCCTACAGAAATATTTATGGTTCTGTTCCTTAGTCATATATGGTTTTTTGCAAGATTCAGATGTCTTGCATGATGAGTCACTGAATTAATGCCGCAATTTTGTGAAGATTTTCCGGAATTATTCTTGCAGGTGTGGAATCAATGGAGAGATGGCACGCCCTTGAACGTGTTGGACCTGGCTATCGCAGATTCATATTCAAGAGATGAAGTACTTCGATGCTTGCACATTGGCTTACTGTGCATTCAGGAAGATCCGGCTATTAGACCCGCCATGGCAACCGTAGTTCTCATGCTCAGCAGCAATTACTTTGACCCGCCACAGCCTCGACATCCGGCCTTCTTTGTCCAAAGTAGATCACAGGGACCGAGCATCCCAATGCAAGAGCTTGAATCGGATCAATCTACCAGTAGGACTATGCCTTCGTCAACTAGTGATATGACGGTTACTGAATTGTACCCCCGGTGAATGGCGGCGTAAGTAAAATCTTACTATATGGATGGTCTCATGGTGAGATTGCTTGGCCTTCCACCATGATTTTTTATGAACCATTGCAAAAATCTATGTATTTGAAGAATAAGCATTAATTGCTCAAAGGGAGTTGTGTGCATTTAAAATAAGACTCTACTCATGTTATCCATCATAGGTATTATGATTCTTCTAAGATTTTTTTTACTAGCTGAGGCTAAATCATATGTTGATCCACTGTAATATGGTGCATTTTAACATTATTGTGCTTCTATGAGGCTCGATACGACTTCTCTTGTCTAGACTAAATAATCAAATGGAAGTTTTCGTTATCTAACCCACTAGGCTACACATTTCTTCACTTGTGAAGCTAGTTGTGTTTCGGTGTTGTTAAAACTATACTTGGAGGCTATAGGTGCTCCATCTTTGAGAGGCTTTCTCTGGGGCACTGATCTTATCTGGCCCATCTCCGTGAAATCCAAGTTGCCCACCGTTACCGTGAGGCCAATCAGTGAATAGGAAGCTCTCCCTTTGTGATTAGCTGTCTAACCCACCTCAACCCTTTTGAGCGATCCTTCGTTCACAAGCCCTTCTTTGTTGTTCGAAAATCGTTAGTTGAAGAAATGAAAGCGATGAGTTCGACCAAAGAAAAAAAAAAAGTTAAGTCTTTGTATACTTTAACAATATTTACACTACAAAAAAAATAAGGATTTAGCCACGAAAAATTAGCGACGAAAAATTATTCGTCGTTAATTTGCGATGGAATTTATGACGAAAACTAAATTCGTCTCTAATTCGCGACGAAAAATTATTCGTCACAAATTAGCGACGAAAATTAAAATTCGTCGCTAATTTGAGACGAAAAAAAAAATCGTCGCAAATTAGTGACGGAATTTGCGACGAAAAAAAAATTTGTTGCTAATTAGCGACGGAATTTGCGATGAAAATTAAATTCGTCGCTAATTTGCGACGAAAAATATATTCGTCGCTAATGAATTTGCTACGAAAAAAAATTCGTCGCAAATTAGCGATGAAATTAGCAACGGAATTTGCTACGAAAATTAAATTCGTCGCTAATTTGCGACGAAAAAAAATCGTCGCAAATTAGTGACAGAATTTGAGATGAAAAAAAAATTTGTTGCTAATTAGCGACGGAATTTGCGATGAAAATTAAATTCGTCGCTAATTTGCGACGAAAAATATATTCGTCGCTAATGAATTTGCAACGAAAATTAAATTCGTCTCTAATTTGTGACGAAAAATAAATTCGTTGCAAATTAGCGACGAAAATTAAATTCGTCATAGCATTTCTCTTGCAATAAAAAAATTTAATATTCTCTTCGTCCTTTAATGCCGAATAATTTTCAAAATTTCCCCTTTATTGAAGAGAGAGGAAAACCTTTCCAAAAATATTTGTCAAAAGAAAAATAGATTTAGCCGGTCAAAAATTCCACACCCCAAAAGAAAAATCCCGCTCCAACCCAGAAAAAAAAAAAAAAAAAAAAAAAAAACACGCCCACATCCGGCGCGACGCTTCCATCCAGGCGCATCCCCCATTGGGCGCTCCACCGTCCTCGCGAATCGCGATCCGCGCGACTCCAACCACGAGAAAACTTGCTGATCGGCATGGCCCGCACGAAGCAGACGGCCCGGAAGTCCACCGGCGGCAAGGCCCCGCCGAAGCAGCTGGCCACCAAGGTGGCCCGGAAGTCGGCCCCGGCGACCGGCGGGGTGAAGAAGCCGCACACGTTCAGGCCCAGGGCGGTGCCGCTGAGAGAGATACGGAAGTACCAGAAGAGCGCGGAGCTGCTGATCTGGAAGTTGCCCTTCCAGCGGCTGGTGCAGGAGATCGCCCAGGACTTCAAGACCGACCTCCGGTTCCAGAGCAGCGCCGTCGCCGCCCTCCAGGAGGTGGCAGAGGCGTACCTCGTTGGGCGGCTGTTCGAGGACACCAACCTGTGCGCCATCCACGCCGAGCGGGTCACGATCATGCCCAAGGACATCCAGCTCGCCAGGAGGATCCGGGGAGAGAGGGCTTAGTTATAAAGGGGAATGTGGTTAGATCTTTGTCATGTTGGAGGGTGTTTGGTTGTAGGCTTGATTATGGAGACTTTGAATCGTTGTTATGTAGATGTACATCTCTGGGCATTAATGGAATGTGGGTTTGCTTCGCTTTCTTTGACTTTCTTGCATATTTTGGTGCTTTTCAGTATTCATGGGTTTGATCCTGTGAATTGATGTTCTTGGAAGACAAATTTAGCGACGGGATTTTGTCACGAAAATTTAGCGACGAAAATTGAAATTTTTCGTCGCTAAATTTTGCGATGCCGAATTGGCGACGAAATTTTTTTCGTCGCAAATTCGTTTAGAGACGAATTTTCCCATTTTTTTCGTGACAAAATTCGTCGCTAAAATCTATTTTTTTTTGTAGTGTTATAGCTCGAGGCAAAGATTATCTATTTGCTTTGTGAACGCACTTTCTCTTGCGAAATCAAGAATAGATTTGTTGCAGTTGTGTCTTCTTATCTTTTTGATTGATTGATATAACTTTTTAGTTAGTTGGTCATGGTATTTAATTATATTATCTCTAATAATCTTTTTATCATGGAGTTGACGGTACGAGCATATAATTGATTTCCTCTAGGAACAAGCAATAAAACCCGTCCCCAACGTTTTTGGCGACAGGTTTGGCAAAACCCTCACCAACGACCGTCGATGATCTACAAGCCGTCTGTAATGAGAGTTTACGACCAATTTCGACATTTTTGTACGGTTTTGCCCATCGCCTGTAACCCTCTTTTAGGGAACTACAACTTTAGCTTTATTGACCCCTTCTGGGGTAACTCCAATTATTATTGTAAAGAAGAATTTATACAGCGGACACCATCCTATATTTAACCAAGTGTGTATGAGAGATAGAGGAAGAGTTCTATAACTTCGAACTAATGCTTGAGATGGTAAAAGTTAGAGTAAATTAATACAAAATCTTTTGAAATTCCGCCAACCAATTATGATGAAGTTTTTTCTTCTTTTCTCTTTTTTTGGCAAGAAACTTTTTTGGACTTTAATTGATTTGGTAAATACTATATAAGCTAACTTGTCCTCCTAAACTACCCACAAGTCTCCCCAAGACTTATATAGGACGATTTTTCATTTTTCATGTTACGCACGCACAATTATTCTAGCTTCTTAGATTGGCTTCCCCCGTGTCTAAGCACTCTTTTCATTCCTGATACCATCTCTCGGTTTTGATATTTTCTTTTGGGATAAGTGCATTAAAAGTCTTAAAACTTATCATAAAAGTGTAATTGAGTCATAAAACTTTCAAAAAATTCAATTAAGTCCTAAAATTTGCACCAAAGTGCAATTCAGTCCTAAAACTTTCATAAAATGCAATCAAGTTCTAAAAATTGTCAAATTGGTCTAAGCAAGTCCTCCTAATTAAACCAATTTGATTGTACTTTCGTGATAAGTTTTAATACTAAATTACACTTTCGTGATAAGTTTTAGCACTTTATTGCATTTTTTAAAAGTTTAAGGACATGATTGCATTTTCGTGATAAGTTTTAGGACTTGATTACATTTTTAGAAAGTTTTAAGACTCAATTGTACTTTCGTGACAAGTTTTAGGACTTCCGGTACACTTATCCATTTTCTTTTTCAAGTACTAAAAAATCCGTTTTAATAATGGGAATCCATAGTCCGTGCAGGGAATCGAGTTTGTTCTGTACATCTAATTCATATAAACAAGCCAAATTCTACACTGCAAAGCCAACTCCACGGGGGTTTTGTTTTAGGAAAATACTAGATTTATTAAGACAATTTTATACAATTAATTTGTTAAATGGCATATCAGGCTATTGGAGATTTTTTTTATATGACCAATTATTAAGCGGATTGCTCACAATCTAACATATCTCTTAGTAAAATTGCTTTTTAAATTAGTTTTAATAAATCTAGCATTGTGGTTTAAGGTTTTAACTTGCCCACGCATACTATTTTTCGCTGTTTATCCATGAAATACGACCAAATATTTTGTCATGATGTGCAGTACACAACTTCTCAATCACAAAAGTCATCACATTTTCGAAGTATGTGCAGTCAGGTGAACCGTCTGAACATATGTTCCTTCCTTCTATATATAATGATGGGTAACTTCATTATGTTCATTTATTAGCTTTGTTGCATAATCTTGTTTTTCGTGACGATGGATGTTTTTTTTTCATCTCTTAATATTATTATCTGTCAGAAATGAGTCAAAAGTTAGATATTATGTCATAATTGGCATCCCTACATTGTTAATCTCATTGAAAGTCACATTACAATACACAGCAGGATCCATTTGCAAAAGGGTAATTATTTCTAAATACTTATTACCAAAAGATTATTTCCTGCGCATAAGGAGGATCCTCCCAAGAACCTTCGTTGGGAAATTTTGGTTTTCTTCTTTATTTCGGGCCAGCATTTCGAAAAGCATTTGATTTGGAGGCCCGATTTTGCCTAGGCCCGGTTGGCCCAAAGAGCAAAATGGCATGTCTGATAATATGCAATCAACACTACGGCTGCATTTGGTCATCTGAATTTCTAACCGAAATAGGATTGGATAGGATATGATATAAAATTGAAATGATTTGCTACATAATAGCCATTATTTGATGAATCACGGAAATAAAGTCTGATAATTTCAATCTTATCATGTCCACTATTTGCTATGAATGACATATCAATGTGAATAAACTTAAAAATTGCACAAACGGAGATGGTAAGAATCTCTTACAACACTCTTGCCTATTTCATTTGTATTTGCATATTTTTTTTTATTATTTTTTCCTCTCTTTTTTTAATTCTTTTCTTTTTTATTTCTTTTTTCCCTTCCATCATTCTCGAATAAAATCTTATTAAATAGTAAACTATACTAATATACCTAAAAGATGTAATAAATATAAATACAAAATATATATTTTCATATATGGAATTTAAATATAAAACTATACTAATTCCCTAGCCGCCAGCCATGGAGTCCCAACCGTAGGCGCCGCTCCTTGCGGCATGGTCGCCGTCACTGCTCGCCGTCTGCTGCCCCCCCCCGGCCTCTGCTCACGGCATGGCCGCGTGGTTGGCCACTCCCCCCAGCAGCTCCTTGCGGGGTGGCCGCCCGTCCAGCCACTGCTCGCGGGTCGGCCAACGCTGTCTGCCGTCTCCTTCAGCTCGTCGCTTGTCCATTTGTTGTCCATTCCTGCAGACCCACTGCCACTAACTGCTGACTCTGCTCCCCGTCTGCTCCCCCCCAGCCGTTGCTCGCGGCGTGGCTGCCCGACGCCAACGCTAATCGCCCAACGCAGCTCGTCGCTCGTCCAATCGCTCGTCCCCTCACCCCGCTTATCACAAATTGACGCCCTCTGCCAACCGCCGCTCAGATATCTTGAAGACCCAACTCGAATAAGAGTAGCAACCGAAGTGCAGAAATAAGCGCAAAACTGTCCGAGGGGGAGAGGGGAGAGAGAGAGAGAGAGGGGGAAAGAGAGCACTCACCAGGAATGGATTGACCTCTTCTTCCTCGTTGAAAGGGTTGCGATCATGGCGGCGATTCATTGTAGCAGTGGAAAGAGAGGGAATTTGAGCCAGAGAGAGGGGATTCGCTTTTTTAGGGTAAAAAACGAAGTTATTTTTTCAGTTCGGTTCGATCTAAACATAATCGAACCGAACCGAACCGAAATAAACCAAATTGAAAAAAAAATAATGGTTAGCTTTCATTATCCGAACTAAAAACCGAACCGAACCAAAATGCACTAAATTTTCGGTTCGGTTCAGGTCAATTCGGTTCGTATCTCGATTCGATTTTTCGGTTTGGTTCTGACACCTCTAATTATACATATATTAATTTAATTCTAAACTTTTTAATTTTGCTAATTTAGTATTAGACCATCACATAAAATTTCAATATAAAATCCATACATTAGGTTTAGGTCAAGAGACTATGCATTGATTGGACAATTTCTCCCATGTTGTTGTTTAGAGTACATGTTACTAGAAAAATGGGAAAATTACCAAAAAAGTCCTAAACCTTTTGCAGTTGTGCCAATTCAGTCATAAACCTTTTTTTTTTGTCAATTTAGTCCTAAATCTTTTGCAAACCAGCCAATTCAGTCCTTTTGCCCGGCCAGCATTGATGTGGCCGCCGGCCGGCTGACGTGGCGCCGGCCGACGTCCACGTGGTAATATTTTAATATTTTTTATTATTATTTTCGATTTTTTTTTCCTTTTTTCTTTTCCTTCTCCCCACTGGCCTATCCGGCCAGGGGGGAGGCTCAACGGCGAGGGCCCAGCTCCGGCGAGGCGAGCTGGGCCCTCGCCGCTGCTGGGCGTGGGCGGAGTTTGCCTAGCCAAGGCGAGCTTCGCCTCGTCGGAGTTGGGCGAGCTCGCCATGGCTGGGCGAGCTCCGCCCTCGCCTAGATCTGGCGAGGTGGAGCTCGCCATGGCAGGGCAAGCCCCGCCTCGCCAGATCTGGGCGAGGGTGGAGCTCGCCTAACGGCGGCGAGGGTGGAGCACGCCCAGCCATGGCGAGCTGGGCCCTCGCCGCCGGTGGGCGAGCCTCGCCCAGCTCCGACGAGGCGGAGCCTCGCCCGGCGGCGAGGGCCCAGCTCGCCCAGCGGCGGCGAGGGCCCAGCTCGCCTCGCCGGAGATGGGCCCTCGCCGGTGAGCCTCCTCCCTAGCCGGATAGGCCAGGGGGGAGAAGGAAAAGAAAAAAAAGAAAAAAGGAAAAAAATAAAAAAAATATTAAAATATTGCCACGTGGACGCCGGCCGGCGGTACGTCAGCCGACCGGCGGCCACGTCAGCGCCGGCCGGCCAAAAGGATTGAATTGGCTGGTTTGCAAAAGGTTTAGGACTGAATTGATCAAAAAAAAGATTTAGGACTGAATTGGTACAACTGCAAAAGGTTTAGGACTTTTTTGGTAATTTTTCCCTAGAAAAATCATGGCGCAGGCTTAGTTTAATCGATCAAATCAATCACATATTACAAAATGGTGAGATCAGCTTGTCGTACGTAAAATCACAATAACAAATATAATAAAACTCAATTTCTAATCGACTTAATTAATCACATATTTACCAGATGTGGCTGTCCGGATTTGTTTTAAAACATGTACTAGATCTTCCGAATAGCTCACAGCAAAAATATCTTGAAGAGCAGACCATGCTCTTCTTCTCCCTGTAGTTCCGTGCCCGTGCCCCTGCCGAAAGCCCAAGCTATTCATCATGAGTTCTTGCTTCACCATCTCCATCTCTCTCTCCTTCTTCTTCTTCTTCATCCAAATTTTCAGTTCTGAGGCTGCACCCGAATATCTGTATCATGATTGCCCAAACACCACCCTCTTCACTTCCAACTCCACCTACCAATCCAACCTCAACGCCCTCCTCTCCTCCCTCTCCTCCTACGCCACCAACAGCACCGATGGCTTTGCCAACGCCACTGCCGGCCAAAACCCTCCCGACCGGGCCTACGGGCTCTTCCTCTGCCGCGGCGACCTCGACACCGCCGCGTGCAGCGACTGCGTGGCCACCGGAAAACAGGGTATCCTCCAAAGATGCCCCAACCAGCAAGTCTCCGTAATCTGGTACGCTGAGTGCATGTTGCGGTACTCGAACCAGCCCACCTTCTCGGTCATGGAGCGAGATCCGTCTGCCATTTTGTACAACACAGGGAACATCACCGACTCAACTCGGTTCACGCAGCTCCTGGGAGAAAACCTGAACGACGTCGCCACGAGGGCTTCAACTGGCGGGTCAGGGAAGAAGGTCGCGGTGGCACAGGCGGACTTCACGAGCTTGCAGAAGCTGTACACACTCGCGCAATGCACTCCGGACTTGACAGCGTCAGACTGTGACACGTGCCTCCATTACGGGATCGGTAATCTGGTTTCGGGGAAGCAAGGCGGGAGGGTGCTCACTCCGAGCTGCAACGTGAGGTACGAGCTCTACCCATTTTATAACACCTCGGCCCTGCCCGCGCCGGTGCCTCCGCCTCCCGCTTCCGCTCCGGTGATCGAACCTAAAGGTACATGTGTGTTTGTATTGCTTGTCTTCTCCGTCCTAACTCTCCACTTTTATCATATCGAAGACAGGATTTAGTCCAGTGGGCCAAGAATATTTACTCAGATTTAGCTAATCTCTCCTACTAGGCTTTTGGATTAGATTTTGATTAATTATAGTATTCACCATCTGTAAAATACGCGACTAAAGACGGGAGGTGATCGAGGATCACATAAAAACTTTCTTGTCTTTAGTGCGTTTGTTGGTCCTGGGCTTTTAGCTTGAGTGGCGGTGACTCCGGTGACTATGTTGCAACTTTTTCTTAAGAAAACTGTTGGCTGGGTTGGATGAATGTTATGTCAAGTATTTCTGACAAGAAAAGACATTTAATGGTATTGTCAGTTCTTTCAAGTCTTTCATGCGACAAAGTCAAGATGAGGCACCTTTTCGGTGAAAAGTTTTTCCTAGGTGGAGCGATTATCTCAATCACTAATACCAGTTGAACAAGGTGGGTTCTACATCCACTTGTGAGATTAGATTATTTATATAACAATTGGTTAAAGGTGGCTTTTAATCAATTAATGGTCAATTCTCTATAAATAATTGGTGCACTCGTATGGGAATTAGGAAAAGAATAGAAATGTGAGTACAGATTATGGGTTACAGCTTCATTTCTTCTGGAAATTTGCTCTTTAAGCGTCCTCTCTTTGTTTTACTCCATATTTTTCATTTGCCCTAGCCTATGGTAGCAATTCCAGTTTCTAGAATCCCATACAGTCTTGAACACATATACTGATGCTATTAAGATACGGTTGCACGTATGTAGGCACAAGCAATAAAACTACCGTGATTATCGTCGCCGTCGCCATTCTTGTTGGCATAGGCGTGGTGCTTCTCTTCCTTGCTTGTTGTTTCTGGCGGAGGAAAGTGACCAAGACGTACGAAGTCGTCCAAGAAGATCAAACCGGTATGAAATATGTACCTATGCCGTATACGTGGATAGAATGATGAAACCGCACAGGTGGGGATGTATTGTGTCTATGCTTTTGGTGAAATGACCATTTAGTGTTGTATCGTCGTGTAGGCGTGAACGAAATTACAGATGCCGAGTCCTTGCGGTACGATTTAGCCACTATACAAGCTGCCACGGACAATTTCTCTGATCAAAACAAGTTGGGTGAGGGCGGATTCGGTGAAGTTTTCCAGGTATGGTTAGTCAGAAACTCGATCGAGAATGGCTTAAATATATTTGAGAGATCTTTAGTGTAAAAAAAATTGAACATCTTTGATTTGGTGGGCTTGAAAAGTTGTGATCAGAAGCTATTCATGTGTACTTAAACATCAAAATACTAACCTTTCAGGGTAGGCTTCCTAATGGACAACAAATAGCCGTGAAGAGACTATCTCAAAGCTCGGGACAAGGTGCCGAAGAATTTAAGAACGAAGTCGTTTTGGTAGCGAAGCTTCAACATCGGAACCTTGTGCGGCTGCTTGGGTTCTGCTTGGAGGGTGAAGAAAAACTGCTTGTTTATGAGTTTGTGCCGAACAAAAGTCTCGACTACTTTCTATTTGGTACATTGCCTTTCAATATACTCCTAAGCGATTGCTTTCCATGTTGAGGTGAATATGAGATTAGCCTCGATAATGTTTAATGTTTCACTAGCTTTTGGAACCTAAAATTGTTCCTTGCACAAAATCTGTTCAAGAGGATTTATCAATCGAAAATACCCGCAATCTCAATTGTGCGTACTTGCAGATCCTGAAAAGAGCAGACAATTGGATTGGTCGAGACGCTACAAAATAGTATGTGGGATTGCTCGAGGAATGCTCTATTTACATGAGGACTCTCGACTTCGGATCATTCATCGCGATTTGAAAGCAAGCAATATCTTGTTGGACAGTGAAATGATCCCGAAGATTTCAGATTTCGGTATGGCAAGGATTTTCGGAGTTGACCAAACACAGGAAAATACCAATAAAATAGTGGGCACTTTGTAAGTATTGTTATGCTTTTGTCTCTACTTTTTATGCTTATGTATGCTTAATTTACTGACTTATTATGGATTGCAGTGGTTACATGTCACCTGAGTATGCAATGCATGGGCAATTCTCCGTGAAATCCGATGTCTATAGTTTCGGTGTCCTACTTCTTGAGCTCGTTAGCGGTAAGAAGAATAGTTTCTTCTACCAAGCAGATGGGGGTGAAGATTTTGCTAGCTATGTAAGTTGCACAAATTGACTATATTTAGTACAAAAATTGTTGAACTAAGCAAATTTGTACGTACTGAGAATTTTTTTTTTCAACGAACTGTTTTTAGGCCTGGAAAAATTGGAGAGACGGTACGCCATTGGAAGTGTTAGATCCAGCCATTGAAGACTCGTATTCAAGAAATGAAGTTCTTAGATGCCTCCACATTAGTCTGCTTTGCGTTCAGGAAGATCCAATGGATAGACCCACAATGGCAAACATAGTCCTTATGTTGAGCAGCTACTCTGTTACTCTTGCACAGCCCCAACAACCGGCCTTCTTCCTCCGGAGTAGGACGGAGAGATCGACGAAGGATCTCGAATCGGACCAATCCACCAGTAGGTCTATGGCAGTGTCAATTAATGAGATGTCAGTCTCTGAAGTTGACCCCCGGTGAACGGTGATAGGAGTGGAAGTCTTTCTTCATGATTGTCTCAGAGACCTTGATCTGAAGTATCCTTGGCATTCCACTGCGATCATTGATGAACAATGAGCAATATCTATGTCCTGTATATCTGAAAGTACAAAGTGTCTTCTCATTGAGGCAAATCATGGTTTGATCCACTAGAGTGGCATGATTTTCTCACAGTACTTTTCATGATATATGATAAGGTATATCCGTTTGCACACGCACCGTATTATTTTCATCACAGTTATTAGAAATCAAGGTCATAGACCTCACCTCCAGATATATTCCTTTGCATCACCTGCCTCTTTACTCGATTATAATGGTTGGTGGTTGATTATGATGGAAAGGCAAGCAAATTCACATGCACATTTCCTAAGTCTACGCAAGAATAAACCTCTCCCTCTCTCTCTCTCTCACTGAGATCTTAGCCATGGCCTATGAGGAGTTGAGCTAGACGATGAGCTCCTCTATGGACGGCAAGCGCTCAAACTTCTAGCATTGATTAGCGAGATGGGATGATGAGGGAGGGAGGGAGATAATAGGCCGATGACCAGACACGTAGTTAAATGAAAATGCATAGTGTTTTAATAGCCTATGAAAGGTTGGCATACAAAGTAATGTATAATTTGATCAACTCAGTTCGTGTGTACCTATTTAGTCTGAACATAATTAGATTATATGAGTCTCATGTAGAGCCCCCTTAACTCATGCCATTGGATCCAATAATTTTCCACAAGTCAAGTCAAAGAAGGTTCGAATAATTTCTCGTGCGACGGGACATACGATCCCAGTCCATCAATCTTTGATTTTGGTGGGTCGGCCTCGGAAAGTTAATAGTCTGAAGGGTCGTAGAGCGATCTCTATCTCGCCATCGCCATCACTTGAAACTGAGATATTGGAGTTACATGTATCTAGACTTTGGTTGGTCAAGTCCTCCTCCACTCAAGAAGAGAATGCTGATCACGCAATTGACCTTGTCGATGACCCCCCCGTACCACCCTCTCCGTTCATATTGTTCTCTTTCCCCATCTGAATGTCGATGGCCTAGCCTAACCAATAAGGGGGGGTGCATGGATCATTCGGAACATCCATAAGTGTATGTGTTTGGCTCTCAAATATATGTCACATTGACGTCCTAAATTTCAAAATTTGACATCTTTATCTTCCAAAGTTTTCGACCAGATTTCGGTTAGGGCGAGCCTCACCGGTTCTTGCCTGTGGCCGATCGCTGGCCATCGAGGAGGCCAGCGACTGCACAAGAAGAAGGAAAAAAATTAAGAAAAGAAAAAAGAAAAGAATATTATTAAAAATTATTTGTGTTAGCACTAGCCATGCCACGTAGGACGGCCGGTGTCCATATTAGCGATTTCTCGCTAAATTTGGCCGGATGGACTGAATTGGCACAAACGCAAGAGGTGTATGACTCAATTGGCCAAAAAAAATTGTTTATAACTAAATTGACACAATCGTAATAGGTTTATGACTTTTTTGGTAATTTTCCCATATTATTTGCTAGAGCTTATGTGAAGTTTTATTTAAAGTGGATCCAAGCTCCATCATGTAGGTTTATCCTCCGATTATAAGAAAACATGAGGCATCCAATTGTAATATGTTTTAATATAATATAAGCAATCTTTCGAGCACGTAAAATAATATGAACAACAAGAAACATGAAAAATTTGCCTCTTTTGGTTCCTCCATTTGTGGAAATCTTCACCATTGGGTTATTGATTTGGTTTGAGAAAGGCAAACAAACTATTTATGCATAATTTTCTTGAGAGTAAAATTTTCTCTACTCTTCACCATTTGCTCATTTCTATTTATAGAGATTTATATGTGATTTCTTTAGATCATCTTCCAATTCAATGAATTTCTTTTTTATTGGTCCTGTGGAGCTTTCCTTTTCAATGTATTTCAGTTTCGTTTTTTACGAATTACTTCCTTTTCTTTTTGTTAACCTATGACGTCTATCCTTTTATTTTGGCAAAACTTGATTAATATCTCGTCATTCATAATTGTTGAGATATACGTGTGAGTATGTTAGAGAAGTCCTACGTCGGAGAATTGATGTGGTGTGAATAGGTTAATATATCAAAGTTGGTATATAACTCATTGGCATAAGTTTTTTAGTGAGGGTAGATCCAACTGGATATATTGACGGACTCGGAGTTGAGCTTGGCAGCTTCTAGGGATGAAATTGCACGTTTGAGATTCAAGTTGAGATAAATTGATGCAGAAGGCCTCCAGGGATGAAGGTGGGCATTGGGTTCAAGTTGAGATAAATTGACGTCGAAGGAATACCAGAATAAGGGGGGAGACTTAACACTAAGCTCATAAGTGAGGGAGAGATTGTTAAAATACACGTATGATTTGTGTTAAAGAAGTTCAAATAATTGTGGTGTGAAGTAGTTAATATATTCAAATTAGTCCATAACTCATTTGCTTAAACTTTTGAGTGAATGTCGGTCTAATTGGATATATTAATAGGTATGGACTTGGACTTCCTCTTCGCGATCTCCTTAGGTGAAGATAGTCAATCTTTTGTTGTGCACTCCCCAACAATAACAATACATCACAAAGAGAATTGTTAATATCTTGGGAAAATATGCACCATACAATTTGTAATTTGAGAACTGCAATATTTTTTTCTCCGAGAATTAATATATAGAATATAATTGGTTTTTTTTGGAATAAGGAGATTCAAAAACACAAGGAGTCCGGACACAAAATAATTTTTTGGTAACACCTGTTATAGAAATTAACAACTTGAAGTCTTAGTTAGCATTACCAAATGTAGCTAATTCGATTAGATGCCAATCTAATATTTATTTGTGTCGTTACTCTTGACAATGCATTACCTGGACGCATATTTTTCTCCATGACTTATCAGATACGTGGTATGGCCATCTGTTATTTTGCATGTGGCACATAGTATGCTCTACGATCCTCAGTCTTGGCTGGTCGTCCTATATGGTACGGTCCATAATTATTCTAATTAAAATAAGCAAAACAATTACAGATGCAGAATTATAGATTTGTTAGGATTAAAGATTTGCTAAAGTGATTATAAAAAACAACTCAAACGTAAACGTTTCACTATATATATATATGAAGCGGCAAAGCTTCTTATATTAAGAAATATAATTAAAACTTATACTTACCAAATGTCGTGATAAATTTTCATCTATTTTAATCTTATTAAACCTTTTCTTTTGTTGGCCAATTGAAACTGTCGTCTCAACTGTTTTTTTCTCGGCCACAAAATCGTCATCTCACTTGGCTCGTAAGTATTAGCACGATTTTTCCACCTTTTTCCTTCGAGAGAACAGAGCAGCATAACTCTTCTTCCCTCGACAATTTTTCTTATGCTCAGTCCCGGAAGCAAAACTAGGATCATCAGACCATGAATTTTGGCTTCATCATCTTCCTCGCCCTCTTCTTCTTTCTCAATTTTCTCAGCAATTACAGTCATACTACAGAAGCTGTACCTACTTATATACAGCATGACTGTCCGGACACCACGCTCTTCGCTCCCAACTCCACCTACCAATCCAACCTCAACGCCCTCCTCTCTGCCCTCTCCTCCGCTGCCACCGACGACGCCGACGGTTTCGCCAACGCCACCGCCGGTAAAGACCCTTCCGACCGTGCCTATGGGCTCTTCCTCTGCCGCGGTGACGTCGGCACCGCCACGTGCAGGGAGTGCGTGGCTACCGGAACAGAAGACATCCTCCGACGATGCCCCGACAGGAGATCCTCCGTGATCTGGTACGACGAATGCATGTTGAGGTACTCGGACGAGTCCGTTTACTCGGTGATGGAGACCGTGCCTATATACATGATGCCGGACGCCGGGGACATCGCCGAACCAGATCGGTTTGTGAAGCTGCTAGGAGAGGCCATGAACGACGTGGCAGGGAGGGCTTCGGGCAGCGAATCCGGGAAGAAGTTTGCGGTTGTGGAGGCGAGCTTCACGAGCTCGCAGAAGCTGTATGCACTAGCGCAGTGCACGTCGGACTTGAAGGGCTCCGACTGCAACACGTGCTTACGGGCGGTGATCGCAAGTCTACCTCAGGGGAAGCAAGGAGGGGGGTCGTTCACTCCGACCTGCGGAGTGAGGTTCGAGCTGTACCCCTTTTATAATGCCTCGGCCGTGGCGGCGGTGCCCCTGCTTCCTTCTCCTCCTGCTGCTCCGGTGAACGAACCCAAAGGTACGTGTTTGATTGAATCGAGGAGATGGTTTTAGCCATGAAAGCTCAATGAAAGTTATATTTGTTCATAGATTGTGGTAGTGATTTATGTCCATCCTGACCTGTATATTTAGGGTGCGCATGATAACCATTCTGTTCCGGAATGAGTTCCTGAACCAGAAATAGATTTTTCTATTTCTGGTTCCTGGATGAGTTTCTGAGAAAAAAAACCCGTTTGATAACGACCAACAATTTCTATTTCTAGAACAGAAACCCGTTTGATAACAGCACAAAATTTCTATTTCCTGAAATAAAAACCCGTTTGATAAAAAATAGAAAATTCTATTTCCAGGAACAAAAATCCATTTTTTTAGAAATGGAATAAAAATAATAAAAAATCCGAAAAATTCATAAAAATCTTTAAAAAAATTCAGAAAATCCCAAAAAATTGAAAAATTCCAGAAAAAATCATCAAAATGTCGAGAAAATAAAAAAAAGTAGATTTCGGGAAAATAGGAAATTTGTTGAATTTTTTCAAAAAAAATCAAGAAATCAAAAATTTCAAAACTTCACAGAATTGCTTAGAATACTGTGGCCACCCACTTTTAGTGAAATTTAAATTTTTTTAGGTGCCCAAAAAAAATCAAAAAATCAAAAATTTCAAAACTTCACAGAATAGTTTAGAATACATGTGGCCACCCACTTTGAGTGAAATTTAAATTTTTTAAGGTGCCCAAAAAAATTCAAAAACTCAAAAATTTCAAAACTTTACAGAATGGCTTAGAATACCTGTGGCCACCCACTTTGAGTGAAATTTTAATTTTTGGAGGTGAAAAAAAAGCAAAAAATCCAAAATTTCAAAACTTCACAGAATGACTTACAATACCTCTAGCCACCCACTTTGAGTAAAATTTAATTTTTTTTAGATGCCCAAATGGTATTTTTTATTTTTTTTTGGTTCCTAAATAAAATTAAATTTCACTCAAAGTGGATGGCTACATGTATTCTAAGCCACTCTGTGAAGTTTTGAAAATTTTTCTTTTTTGCTTATTTTTATTTTTTTTCGACACCTAAAAAAAATTAAATTTCACTCAAAGTGGGTGGCCACAGGTATTCTAAGCAATTATGTGAAGTTTTGAAATTTTTTATTTTTTTCGGCAACTAAAAAAATAAAATTTCGCTCAAAGTGGGTGGCCACAGGTATTTTAAACCATTCTGTAAAGTTTTGAAATTTTTACTTTTTTGCTTATTTTTATTTTTTTGGCATATAAAAAAATTTAAATTTCACTCAAAGTGGGTGGCCACAGATATTTTAAGCTATTCTGTGAAGTTTTGAAATTTTTTATTTTTTTTATTTTTTTCGGCACCTAAAAAAATTTAAATTTCACTCAAAGTGGATGGCCACAAGTGTTCTAAGCCATTCAATGAAGTTTTGAAATTTTTGATTTTTTGCTTTTTTTTTATTTTTTTCGGCACCTAAAAAAATAAACTTTCGCTCAAATTGGGTGGCCACAGGTATTCTAAGATATTCTGTGAAGTTTTTAAATTTTAGAATTTTTTATTATTTTTTATTTTGTTTTTTGGCAATTAAAAAAATTAAATTTTGCTCAAAGTGGGTGGCCATAGGTTTTCTAAGCCATTTTGTGAAATTTTGAAATTTTTTACTTTTATTTATTTTTTTTGTACCTAAAAAAAATTAAATTGCACTAAAAGTGGGTAGCCACAGATTCTAAACCATTCTGTTAAGTTTTGAAATTTTTGATTTTTTGATTTTTTTTCTCACCTCAAAGATCGTGACTTCCATATGAATATGTGTATTGAAGAAAATGAATTCCTCAGAAATGGTTCTCACTTTTGTTCCAGAAATGAAAAACCAACTTTTTTTTGTTCTCATTTCTAGTTTCAGAATCAGTTTTGGAAGCAAACTTGTCCCGGAAATAGAAAAATGAAATTGCGTTACCAAACGGGTTTCTGGTCCAAAACTGATTCTGGGAACAAAAAACCAGTTCTGGACAGAACCAGAATGGTTTTCATGCAGCACCTTAGTATCCGGTAGATAAATTTCTGTCCAGCTATTCTTATTGTAATATTTTTAGGACGAATGTGGTTGTATTTGCTGGTTAGGACTTTTGACAGAGTTTTCGTTATTGAATCATATAAAGGATTTAATTAAAAAATTCCCTAAGGACTTGTTAAGCAATCAAATAAAGAAATTTTATAATTTTAAATGCACTATTTTTCTTGTATTATACTAATTAGTTGTTTATAAGATATATTTATTGCTTTATTCAAGTCTTCGGTCCCATAAAGTCAAGATGGGGTACATTTTAGGTGAAAACTTTCCTAAGTGGATCAGGCAATTGTCTCAATCTCATGGTACATTCTAATGGACTTTTAGTCAAGTTAGTAGCTTATACCAAATTTATAATTGGTGCTATCCTAAGATATAAGAATTAGAACAGGAAAAACATAATGTGAGATGGACAGATAATGGAAGACCACATTACTCTTCTAGACATTTGCTCTTGAAGCAGGACATTTTTTACAAGATAAAATCCCATGCCTGAAGATAGCAGAATCGTTTATTTGAATGAGTCCGTACTGTTTTTGAATCTGTTTCTTAGATTTGCTCCAACCTGTAGGAGCAAATTAGCAATTCAAATTTCTGAAATATCATCAACTGCTATGAGATGGTTGCACATATGCAGGCAAAAGCAATAAATCGACCACGATAATCATTGCCGTGGCCATTCCGGTTGGCGTTGCTATTGTACTTCTCTTTCTCGCTTGCTGTTGGCGTCAGAGTAAAACAACAAAGACGTATGAAGTTGTCCAAGCAGAAGGGGGTACATAAATACGCGCATGCATAAATACGCGCATACATATGCATATTTATACTCGCACAGAATTTCAAAACTGTGTACACGAGATACACTGTTCTATGCTTTTGATGAATGACTCTCCTCTTGTTTCGTGGTGTAGGCTCAAGTGAAATTACAACTGCAGAGTCCTTGCAATACCATTTAGCTACGATACAAGCTGCCACAAACAATTTCTCTCATCGAAACAAGTTGGGTCAGGGCGGATTCGGTGAAGTTTTCCGGGTACTATCAGTTAGAAATATTGATATATGCTTTCTAAAAATCTTTGAATATTGTTGATGTTTGTTATGTGAAGTTGTGGTAAGAAGTTATTCATGTGTAGTCAAGCAACCAAATTAAAAATTTTCAGGGTAGGCTTCCGAATGGACAAGAAATAGCTGTGAAGAGGCTATCTAAAAGCTCAGGACAAGGTGTTGGAGAATTCAAGAATGAGGTTGTTTTGGTAGCGAAGCTTCAACATCGAAACCTTGTGCGGCTGCTTGGGTTTTGCTTAGAGGGAGAAGAGAAGATACTTTTCTAAGAATTTGTGCCAAACAAAAGTCCTGACTACTGTTTATTTGGTATGTCGCACACTTCAATGGACTCTTAAGTTGTCATTTTCCATGTGGAAGAACCTGTATGAGTGATTAACATAAACTTAGAGTTGAAACTCTCACTAGCTTCTGGGGAACATGATGAAAGTTCTTTAAGGATTTACCAACTCAGAACAATTGGGTTCTAATTGTGTAACTATGCAGATCCTGATAAGAGAAAGCAATTGGATTGGTCAAGACGTTACAAGATAATATCTGGAATTGCTCGAGGAATGCTTTATCTGCACGAAGATTCTAGACTCCAGATCATTCATCGTGATCTAAAACCAAGCAATATCCTATTTGACAATGATATGAACCTAAAGATGTTAGATTTCAGCATGGTTAGGATTTTCGGAGTTGATCAAACTCAGGCAAACACCAACAAAATCGTGGGGACCTTGTAAGTCTCAAATTCTTTCTTAGATAAATGATAATTTCTTGTTTATATGATCTATCTTATGGTTGATCTATGAATTACAAACAACACCATGCTCATATATGGTCAATTCAGAGTATATTCATCAGTGTGGTTCATTCGCAAGTTGCTCATTTTATCAACTTATAATTACATAATGGATGCTACTGCCGGTGTATTTTCCTTTGTAGTGGTTACTTGTCCCCTGAGTATGCAATGCGTGGGCAAATCTCAGAGAAATCCGATGTCTATAGTTTCGGTGTCCTAATCCTAGAGATCATTAGCGGCAAGAAGAATAGCTGCTTCTTCCAATTAGATGGGGGTGAAAATCTCGCCAGCTTTGTAAGTTGCATCTGTGCTATTATGACAAATATTACGTTGCACAGATCTAATTAAGTTGAAATTCCTCCACTGAAATAATTTTTACAGATGTGGAAGAATTGGAGAGCCGGTACACCTCTCGAATTGTTAGATCCGTTCATTGGTGACTTATATTCAATAGATGAAGTGCTTAGATGCCTCCACATTGGTTTACTAGGTGTTCAGGAAGATCGAGCTGATAGACCCACCATGGCAAGCATAGTCCTTATGTTGAGTAGCCACTCTGTTAAGCTTTCAAAGCCTCGACAACCAGCCTTCTTCCTCCAAAGGAGCACGGAGAGACAGTTGAAAGAGCTAGAGCTGGACGAATCCACCAGTAGGTCTATGCCGTGGTCGATTAATGAAATGTCAGTTACTGAAGTGGACCCTCGGTGAATCGTGGTGGGAGTGAAAGTCTTTCTTCATGATAGTCTCACAGAGACCTTGAGATCCATGGCCTTCCACAGATTAATGAACAATCAACAAACACCTATGTTTTTCGAAACTGCTAGCTGCCATGGGATCATGCGCATGATGTATATAGCGGCTTCTCCTGTTAAGGAAATAACACAATTGCACCAAATTGTTAGGTTCTTCCTTTGAATGTGTGTGTTTTCAATCAATATCATTGAAGTGTGGACGATGGTGGACTCAGCGCACCAAGGGATACCCTCTGTGATGTCCACCATCTCTCTTTTATTGAGACCATGTGTTCTCAATCTCTAGAATTTTGAACTCAATGGATGAATTTTGGCTGTGGAGAATATTTCCTCATCCTCTTCCGTAAAA